CTGGATGTGGACCTTCCTGACTGAGTTGGTTTCTCCATCTTTGAAAAATCCTCCTTATATCACCCTAATTTCTCCCATGGGCTGTTGGTGTGGTGGAGCTTGCTACTGAGGTGCAAGAGGTGGGTGAGCTCGGTTCTGATTATTTTGTGCCACGAAACGGCACAACTGTCCCCTCTGGATCAAGAATTCAATCTCTTTTTTTAGCTGGATGCAGTCATCGTGAGGTGGTCATGGTCTTGGTGATATTCACAGTATTTCGCTATGTCCCATTTTATGGGGTCAACCTTCATTCGAGGTGTCCACCTCAAGAACTTCTCATTCTGTACTTTATATAGTATCTGTGACACCGCAACATTGAGGGGAGTGAACTACTGTGAGGCATACCTCGGCTGCAGCTCCTGAAGTAAAGGACCTAGGCGATCTCTAATGTCACCCATCCTATTCGAGGAGTGATCTATGTCCCTTCGTGGAGATCATTCTCAGCTCTTGTCCTTCCTTGGACTCCAATCCTTTTTCTTCTCATTTTCTTTATGAGTTGTAGAGCTCTTAGCTTTTGAGAGAAGAGCCTCCTTGTCATTGATGTACTTCTCTACCTTGGCTAAAACCTCAGCCATATTGGCTTGTGGATTTTGGAGATAGTGAACATTTGATCTTTTGATTATATATACTCCTAGTCTGACAATGAAGGCAGTGAGGGCAAACTTTTCATCAAGGATGCCTACTTTTAAGGACTTGAAGTTAAATCTTTGGACGTAGCTCTGTAGCGACTCACTCGGCCCTTGTTTCACATTCAGCAAGTGATAACTCAGCTTTTAGTAGGTTCAAGCTCCAATAAAATGGGATACAAACGAAATAGAAAGTTCTCTGAATGAGGAGATTGATGATGGGGTCAGCCTGTTGAACCAGGCTAGGGCTGAACTCTGCAGGGTGATAGCAAAAGCTCAGCAACACACTGGATCTTGATAAACCATGCAATTTCATTTAGTTCTTGTAAGTATTGAGGTGGTCTATGGGATCAATTGTTATGTTGAAAGTCTCCATCTACGGCATCCTAAAATTCTGGGGAAGAGGATAATATAGCACTTCAAGAGTGAATGGGGACTTCGTCCGCTAAACCGAGGCATGCATGGTCATCAAGGTTTTGGCTTTTACAGCCTCCATGTGGCTGAGTTCTTACTAGATTTCCTTGAGCATTGCTCCCAAAATTGTTCTTTTCTTTCTCGCTGGAATGATGAGAATTCATTCCTATGAGTCCCATTGTTTTGGCTCTGTACCTTCTCGTCCTATCCATTCTTTTGAGCTCGATGGCGGATATTGTCAATTGATTGGTTATGCTCATTCTCCTATTCAATTTCCCTTAAGGGTTGGGGTGTTGATGTTCCCCTTGTTGGGGATCATCCTGAGCTGGTTATGCCCTCTAGGGATGTTTGGCACGAATGAGGTTTAGTAATTCCTCATTTTGCAGGAGGAGGTGATTGTTGGCTTGACGAAAGGCCTCGAGTTCATTGTTTAGAGGGGGTCTGCCATCAGTGGATTAGTTTCAAGATTAGACAGGGGGTTTAAAGGATTCTCCTGTTGTTTCCTATTGGCGATTTCTTGTTGGTTTTGCAAACATAAGGGGTTCATCTGATTCTTGCTCATGTTACGCATATAAACCATCAATTACTAAAATGATCAATAGAGTTTTGAACAAAAAACATATATTTCCCATGGCCAACTGATGGTGTGTGGGGCGCAATTGAATAGAGTTGTGCTTGATAAGGATTAGAGAGTCACTAGAAGACCCAGTCTGAGTTCCTAAGCTCTTTTATCAAATGATTATGATTCACAGACAAAATATTTATAGTGGTTCACTAGCTCGGGAGCTCGGCTGTAAGGAAGTCTCTGGCTTTTGGAAAGATTTTATTGATAAAGGAGGGGATTATACATAATATTTTTTTAGGCTTAATTACTCGTATTGTATTGTGGGAGATATGCCTTTTATTTATAGTCTTCCAAGGCCTTGCTTGATTTCCTAGCGTGATCCTTGCTTCTTCTTTGTAACATAAGCGTCTGTTATGCGATTACTATGAATAGTGCTAGCACTGTGGCGATTGCGGCTCTCTTGCCTTAATGCAGGGTCATTGCGGTTTATGCTTCATATTTTGGTGGGTGCCAGTTGTCACCCTTGCTATTCCTATAAGCGTATTATTTGTTGGGGTGGGTGCCGACCTGAGCGCCTCTAGCTATCGGTAATGAGCTGCATGACTCGAATTTAGATGACCCAGCTCAACCTCGATCAAATTTTGAGTATCATTAGTGTTGATGTTATTTAGTTTTTTTTTATCATAGATGTTATTAAGTTCAGTAGGTGAGAAGTTGTTCTACTACCAAGTCTACCATGAGGTTTTTGTTACCAAGTCTACCAGTAGTAAAAAATCAAGAATAACAAGGCTAGATCTTCAGGTTTGTCTGATTCAACTCTATTTGTGATACGATAAAATAGTAGGAAAGAAAAAGAAAAGAAAGATAGGAGTTTGATCTCACCTGAAGTTCCTTCTCTCTCTTTACATGCATACATCAAATATTTGGTGAAAGGGGGTTTTGTAATCTATATATGAAAATTAGTTTTCGAGGGTTGCGTTAAGCAAAGTATGAATTTCATAGGATTGTGTTATGTGCTAGTGGATTTGGTGGTGGTATGTAAGGATCTTATCTGGGAAAACTTTATAGATGCCAAGTTTTTTGTTGGGTTGATAAGATAGTTTGATTTCACAAATGTGTCTTGTGGGGACAAATTCTTAATTCTACTTTCCCATTTTTCTTTAGTTTAAGTTCACCTTAGCTAGAGAGAACCAAAAAATTCATTAATTAATCGTGAACTACCCACCCAACAATGAACTACTCGACAATGAACTAAAAAATTCAACTTTTTATAACGGTGAACTTCAAATTAGTGAAAATTTGAACTAGAAGTTTCATTCTATTAAAAGTTCACTGTTTCTATAGTTTACTGTTCATGTGTTTTTCACTATTATTGAGATCACTATTTTTTATATATGTTTTCAATTCAGATTTTCAATATTTTTGTCGTTTACAATTTGTGAAAATTTTGTAAAGTAAACTATTAGTTTCATTCTATTAAACAATCAATTTAGAAAAATAGAGGGACAAGACAAAAAAAAAAAAAGAGGGAGAGAATGTGGGCGTCGGTGGTGGTGGTATGACAATGGGTGATGGTGGTGGATAAAGGTGGCACAAGTGTTAGTGGTTAGTAATGGTGGTTTTTTATGGCAATGATGAGTGATGAGAGTGGTGGGATACTAGTGGCAACAAGTATTAGTGGGTGGTGGTGGTGACGGGCAGTGATGATGTGTAGTTGTGGCAATAGTGGATGGGTGATGAGTGGTGGTGGTGTTGGACGACGATGGTGGTGTTGGTGGGTGGTGGTGGGTGGCGATGATGGTGGTGGTGGTGGTAGTTGTTGGTGGCGATAGTGGCGATGGTGGTGGGTGATGGTGATGGTAAGTGGCGGCAGTTGGTGGTGGTGGGCGACGGTGGTTGTGGTGAGTGGTGGTAATAGTGTTAGTGGGCAATAGTGGTGATAGGCAACGATGGTGGCAGAATGTGGTCGTGGTGGTCGACAACAATGGTTGGTGGCGGTGTTGGGTAGTGATGAGTGGTGGTGGCATTGGGTGGTAGGTGATAGCAATGGGTGGTGGTGGTTGTGGTGGGTGATATTGGTGGTGTTGGTGTTGGCACGAATGGTGGTGAGTGGTAATTTGTGGAGGCGGTGGGTGGTGGTGGTGGGCAACTAAGATATGAGTGGTTGTGGCAATGAAGGGTGCAAGGTGGCGGCGATGTTAGTTGTAGGAGGCAGTGATGGTTGTGGTTGTAATAATTATAGTAGTAGTAATAAGCATAAGAATGAGATGATAATAGATGTTTTTTAATAACCTTCTTCATTAAGGTTTTATCAATGATTGATTTTATGGACCGCTTGCCTTCATTAAAGGTATTTTTATCAAGAGCTAATTTTGTAGACCTCTTCCCGTAAAAGTGTTGGAAGTGGACCGTTCACCTTAAAAGTCCACAACTTTTTACCTAGCGCCTAAATTCCATCGTATATTTTGTTAGCTATTGTCATGCTGGCTCTATTCTATTTGATAGTTCAATTTCATTTGCTTCCTTCTGTAAGTAGTATTTTGTTATATTACACTTCATTTGACCAATTCCATTCTGTTTACTTGATAAAAATTGTAGCTTACTTCATTCGTATTTCTGGTTGTTTTGAGAGGTACAAAACAATGAAGAAATCGAACAATCTACATTACAAAGACTGCGAGAGAAGGGAGGGAGAAGGCTACGGGTGGAACTGTGAGTGGTTATGGGATTGAAATGGTTGTGATAGGTTGAAGTGGTGGAAGAAGACATGTGATTCTTTTTTATTTTTTACAACGTTCATAATTTATTATTTTTGAAATTTTCTTGATATTTGTATCTTTTCATTTTATAGGAGCAAAGCAAGTAATTAATATTTAAAACGACAACGAACTCGGTACATCATAACACAAGATATCAGTTCGGACTTTCGACTATCTGCCAATACAGGATGTTTAAAACATGCAAAAATCAGATTTTTTTTTTAAAAAAAAAGAAAAAGGGATCCATGCAAATCAAACGAGAATCTGCTGATGTTCAGTTTATATAATTTAATGGCCCCTAAATCTCGGTCAGATGGATGGAGCGCAACAATAAAACTACCTCACTGAAAGAAAGCCTAAACCCAGAAATCATAAAATGCAGATCAGACTGACCACATGAAAATAGACTGGAGTTTTGAGGAAATAGTACTCTGTTTGGCAGAAAAGTAACGTCTTTTTTCTTATAATTCAGATACTCCCAACAGCTCAAGGTGGCTTCAGGAGTAACGATATTTTCAGCTAAAAGAAAATATTTACAAATAGGAAACATAAAAATTCCATCGAAAAGAGTAATATACTCTAGCCGTAAGCTGCTTGTCAAGTGTCACAAGCCCCGGCATCAGGCTCCTTTTTACTTCTAGTTTCCTCCTTGGTCTTTTTCAGGTTATCCATGTGGTATACCTGTATATTGAGCCCATACAAATTAGATCTGATAAATTAGCAAACTGAAGTACACAAATAGAAATACAAAATATAGATAAGCACGTGCGCGCGCGCACATGTTTATGCTATTTTTATATCTATACTTACAATGTAGGATTTCCACTCAATTTTCATTTGCACATCAGAAGCAGGATGGGAATTGCTGCGGACTTGCCTGAATATGTGAACGAGGACAGCTGCATCAAGAGCAGCATACTCTAGCTGCATATTCATACAAATTAATGTCAACCAAAGGTGACAACCAAATTTTTATCTATTGTTTTTCGGGAAATAACTTTTATATTGGAAGCTCATATTTATCTAGAGAGCCTGCTTTTGACATTTGAATATTTGTCAGATCTCTTTAAGGTTCATGCATTTTCACTTAGCTCCCTCTTAGCTATAAGTTCAGCATCATAGACAGTTAAATGCCATTAATTCATCTTTAACCATTAACAGAGAAGACGAGAAAGAAATCAATATATAGAGCAGGTGTAATGACCATGGAATTTCCTAGAGAAGAGTTCAATCCTGCTGCTGCAAGACTAAAGGGTGAGTCGATGACATTTGAAGGCAAGGTGAAGTTAGTTGATATTAAGAAACCTAGGCAATATGACTAAAATATTTACCCTAAATTATGTAGACTTTGCTCCAAATCACATCCATTTGCCTAAATCAATCCATATTACTTCTATTTTGGCTCTTAATTTGCATGCCTCAGTTCTGACAATCCAATAGATTCAACTTCACATTTTGCAGCATCCACAGTCATTAGGCTGGACAAGATTGTCAAATCAGAGCTAAACTGGTTTAACCAGCTGTCTGAATTAGTTTTGTACTGATCTTGATTAGCTCAGCGCAGGGTTGAGGGATTCCTAGGAACTCGGCTTCTTGAAGACTAGCTCATAACTGCATAATTGAAATGTGAGCCTAAGAGTGTTAGAGGCATCCAACCTGAAACCAATAGGCAATAGCCAAAGAGGCCCCTCAACCATATAAATCAACGTTAGGTGATCCTTACCTTTTATGTGGGACACAAACTTTCTTCACACTCTCCCTCACACGGGACCCGCACATTAGGTAACAAACTGAACCAATAAAAACTGGACAAATTTATCGTAAAATTCAAATGGATGAGATACTGATCCACTGACCACCCAAGATCCAACTCTGATTCCATGTTAGAGCATTCAACCCAAAACCAATTGTTGTGAGTAAATAAACCCCCCAATCATATAAATCAACTTTTCATGTGGGATACATGCTCTTTGAACAAAGTAAAAGATCAGGATTTGATGGTTGAAGTAAAAATTTGTCCGAGTGATGCCTAGCTCACGAGGCCTACTTAGAAAAATCATCATTTGTCTCCATAAACTACTAACTTGATGTATGCAATGCCAACAACCCCTTCTGGCCTGCTCTATACAGACTTTTTGCAACAGTGCTCATGCCAGCAACAGGCATTGGAATTTGTGCCCTGTTCCATTGTCCTTGATGATCAATTCTGCTACTAACGCTGCCCTCTGGAAGTTTGCCATGAGCTTCTAATTAAAAAATGTTTCTCACATACCTTTCTAGGTCTCTTGAGTTTCCACTAAGGTTTATTTTACAAAGTGAATCTGATTCATTTCAGCATATTCTATTAATAGGTTTCCTCCTTGATTGCAAGTCTTTGCTTCTTGCTTACCAAATCATTGAATAATGCTTCATACTTTCATTTTTTGAACTCAATGTTAGTTTTCACTTGCAAACACTGTATTTGGTGCTATGATTTATGGTTTTTTAGGAAAACTTATGGCCAAACCAAGTCCCATCAATGTCACACATACAAAAGGAATACTAAAAGACTTGTCAATGGATAATTCCCAAAATTAGCGATGTCCAAAGTAACAACCAGGTGACGCTCAAGATTCTGCCCAGACTTTCTTCAAAATCTTTGGGCCCACATTTTAAATGGCAATCACCCTCCTTTCTGGGTATTACACTCTGCTCATTTGAATACCTTACTCGTATTTCATCACAACACTTGGGCATTAAGATTATGAATTTTTTTCTTTTTTTTTCAGAAAGTTATGAATTTGTTCTTCGCTAGAGAATCTCAAAAAAACAGAAAACGTAATTGATTTGAATAATAAAAAAGGGAATAATAGTAAGTGTCTAACAAATTCCTTGACTAACCTAAAAGTATATGCAGTACCTCTTAGTTTGAGTTTCGTAAGATTCTGTCACTCTAAAAGCATTGAGTTGCTCCATTTGTCTTGCAGCCTTACAGAATAACACCCAGGGAGGGGTAGACTGGATACAGATGAAACATTTGGCATTATTGGCACACAGTGTCTGCCCTCAAGTTAAGATATTTATTGTCCAGATCAAGGTCACACAGAGATGTTGTGATGTTTGAGAGAAATGAGATGATTTAGAAAAGAGGGAGTAATTAAATAGCTGGAAGTGCTTTTCAACCAGGAAAAAGAGTTGTTTGAAGGAGTTGGATGGTGAGAACTCTAGGGTTGCATTAAGGATTATGCAGGAGTAATTTACATAGTACAAAACACTTATATATTCAGAAGGCAAAATTGAAAGGAAATTCAAATGAAAAAACAAATCTTATGCCCCAGCCCACGAAAATTTCATAGTTCAATTTATTGTTAGTGTGCACAAAAAAGGATTTTATAAACGATCTCAGGAAACTATAACACAAAAGGCTACGACATGCAAAAAACATGAGACAATCACAACCATTTTCTTTGCAGAAGGAAGACAAAAGATGAACATACTACCTCTACGTGAAAAAATAAAATGATTTGGTCTTACATCTATTAAAGTTCTTTTTTTATGTATTAAGTCATAAATCTATAGGGTAATATTGGAATTACCCAAAATATTGCTTAATTATAAATACGATGGTGTAGGGCAGCATAGTTCATATACAACTGATTTTTTATTCTCTACCTCTTCTTTTCCTTCCTTTGTATTTCTCTAATCCTAATATCAATTTATTGCCTTTTAACTTGGTATCAGAGCATCTACTTGAGTTTGTATAACATCGAGAAATATCGCCGAAAAGCTTTAGAGTCTTAGCAGTGGCTAACGTCACTTGACAGTGGATGACATCATGCTATTGTCAGCAATTCAGCAATTTCCGGTAGTCAGAAACTACCTCTGGCAACCTTTTTTGATGAGGAATATTATGGTGATTTTTTTGTATTTTTGTGAAGCCATCTGAGTAGTTTTTCTATTTTCGAATATTTTTTGATATAATAGAGTCGATTTTCAGATCTACTGTTCTTGGACCTGTTTTGGCTGATTTGTTGCTTCAATCTGAACTTGTGGGTGCCGATTAGCCCATAGGAGGAGTTTCCCAAAGTTCCTAGTCTTCTCCTGCTGGATTTGGACATGATTTCCATCACCTAGGTTGTCGGCACCACTGTTCCAGCCTGTTGGAGTGACAATCTGGTACTGGTTGTGTGTTCTTTGGCTCCTGTGTGATTTCTGATGCTAGGTTGCTGCAGCGTGTTGCCCTTTCTGGTTGGTTGGTGATTGGTCAGTTTTTCTTTAAGCTCCTGTTGCACTGTGTCTTTCTGTGTTGCTGCTGTATGTTGTGTGGGGTTTGATTTGTTGGCCACTGATTCGTATTTTCTGGTTCGTTGGTGATATTGGGCAGATTCTTCGGTGGTGTGAAATGTGGTTTGGGCTGAACTCCTTTTTTTTTTTAGTTTGGTTGTGTGATTGTGTTGGTAAAGACTATTGGTTTAATTATTATCGCTCAATTATTTGAGATTTTTTTTACTATGTCGACTTCAGATGAAGTCAAAGATACTTCAGCTCAAACTCGACAGGTTCACTCTTTGGACGATCAGGTTAGACAAATCACTTCTGTAAAATTGAATGGACACAATTATTATTTTTGGGCTCATGCTTTTAAGGTTTTCTTATGGGCTAAAGAAAGTCAAATGTTTGACTAACAATCCCCCTAAGGAGGGGTCCAGCGGTTTTGATTCCTTGGTGATGACTTGGTTGTGGCCGAGTATAGAATCATCTATGGCCTCTAATGTTCAACTTTTTGATAAAGCTAAGAAGATATGGGACTCCCTTGAGGAGATGTACTCTAAAAAATATAATGTATCCAGAATCTATGAACTCTTTGAGCATTCATTTAATACCAAGCAATTATTTAATATCAAGCAAAGAAATAAATCCCTAGCTGAACACTATGACATCTTGAAAGGATTATTGGAAGAACTTATGTTGTATCAGCCTCTGAGTGCAGATCTAGAGGTTCTACGTTGGGAAGGAACTTCAAATTGTGTTGCTTTTGTCAAGCCTTAATTCTGAGTATGGTGTTTTTAAAGATAAGATTTTAACCGGTGAAAAGCTTCCTATTGTTGCTAATGCTTATTCTCATCTTCAGTGAACTTCTCTTATTCGTGGACCTTTTTCATCTTCACAAGATTCCTCCGCCTTAATTTTTAGCGATGACAGTCGTTATGTATCACGGGGAGGAAATAGTGGTAGTCATGGTGATGGTTGCCATCCAACCTAAGTTGGTAACTATGGTGGTAGAAGTTCTAGTCATGGTGACCGAGGTGGTTGTAGTGATCGAGATAATTGCCTCAAGTGGAAATGTTCGTATTGTGGAGCTACTGGACATACAGAGGATTATTGCTGGGACAAGCATGGGAGGTCGGCCAATGCTAATCAGGCCTATGATGATTTGGCTTCACCTAGGTTTCAGCCATTGCCTGCTACTTCTATTGGATCTACATCTGACTCTACTGATGCCCAAATTTCTCAAGTCAGTCAACTTATCCAATAGTTATTGTCATTTTCTTCTCATTTATCTACTTCCACAGCTGGTTTGACTTGGTATTTCTTAGTTTCTAACTTTCGTTCCTCTAATTCTTGTATTGTGTTAGCTAATTATTCTTTTAGGATCTTCATCCTACCTACTCTATGACAATAAGATCTGGTTTATTTATCCCTCAATTTTCCTTTAACATGTTATCTGTAAATCGGTTAACCAAGTCTTTATAGTGTTCAGTGACTTTCTCTCTATCTTCCTGTATTTTTTCAGGAACTCTAGACAAAGAAGGTGATTGGTTTGGGGCATGAGCAAAATAGACTTTATTTTTNATTATCGCTCAATTATTTGAGATTTTTTTTACTATGTCGACTTCAGATGAAGTCAAAGATACTTCAGCTCAAACTCGACAGGTTCACTCTTT